GGCGGGCTGGCCCCGGGCAGGGGCACTGTAGCCAGACTGTGCCCCTTTAAGGGCTCCAGGGCCAGGAGGGGGGCAGAAGAGTTTCCCTGGTGGTACCCAGAGTGGCCACCAGGGCAAGCTGGGGAGGGCTAGCCTCCCACTAGTTCGAATTAAGTGGCTACACAGTCCTTAATTCGAACTACTTAATTCGAACTAGGCGTTAGTCTTCGTAGAATGAGAATTAAGCGCTCCGTTAGTTCGAATTAAGTTCGAACTACACTAGTATGTGTAGCGCCTATCAAAGTTAATTCGAACTAACATCTGTTAGTTCGAATTAACTTTGTAGTGTAGACATACCCCATGAGTTTATTAATTGATGACTTTTCCATCTAGTCATCATGCTTGTAACAGGAGTATTGTGGTGATAATAAAAGTTCTTTCTCTTTCCTTTTTATTAACGTGGTATTGGTTAATATTTGTGTCTTGGTTTTACTTTAGGGGTGAGATTTCCCAAGTGATCTCTCCCCTGATTTCCTTATCATTACTTGGGTGATAGCAACAGATTTTTATCCCCAAAATCTAGGTTTTTAAGATTTTTGGGGGGAAGTGTTATACCAAAGCCTGGAAAGACAAGGTTTTGGGGTACTTCCGCGGGTCCCCACTTCTGCCAGACCAGGGAAGAAGCCTTGACAACATAAATCAGCTATACAAAAAGGCAATACTCAAAAACCTGTTGGGTATACTTTAATCTTCCTGGACAATCAATAATGGATCTCCAAAACACCGTATTGTTAGACGCCAATTCCACAAGCAAAATACACAGGGAAGAATTGGAACTTAACTTCATTTACAAGTTTAATTCTTATGCAAATGGTACAAACAGGAACATCGGGCTGGCTCACACACTACCTTCAACATCCTAATGACTTGTGCTAATTGTTCTTATCAGCCTTTTGCAAATACTTAACCATCCCTTCCCTCCCCCTCTCCCTTACTTATTCTTGGATCTGGATTATTAATACATCATTAAGAAGCGGGTTGCGCCCACAAAAGTTCATGCGATCATCTACATGTTTCGTTAGTCTTTAAATTCTAGTCGACTATTTGTTGTTTTTTTAAGTTTTTTCTAATCTAAACAGTAACTTGAACAACACGCAACTACTTGGAAAACTATTTACAGAAGACAAAAGCATTCCAGCAATCGTCAGGGGCGATAAGAAGGAACTGAGGGGGTGGAGGGCCAGCAGAGGTATACATGGGCCAATATGCCAGCACCCTCCAGGGGGCACCCTGGCTGGCCCAACAGGTACTGCTATGGATAAAAAGCTTCCTGAACTCATGCACGCAGCATGCACACACCCCTAAGTGGAATGGACATAAGCAAGCACTTGAAGAAGAACTAATCAAGATGCATCTAGTGTTACAATATAATGATCTACTCGTCACATATACAGTGGGCACCATCCAACAACATGCACCAGCCCAATTACCTGCCACAATTACATCTTTTCTCTCTTTTGATTAGGAGATACCAAGGACCCACAATTACTGAGTGTTGAGTTCTTATATCATGCTTACTGTAAACAAATTCCATGTCTATAAGTGGCATTAATATTAATCAATAGTAGACTTTAATTTAGTATATACCATCTAGAACAGCGATGAGTAACCAAGTCTAGTGAGTGGGCTGCAAGAGGAGGTCGTATGCTCAGTGGTAGGCAACCGGTGGCCTGCAGTTCACTTTGGTTCCACAAGTGGCCCAAACACCCTCTCTCCCGCCTCTCCACCCCTACATGCCTTCGCATGACTGGTACATGGGAGCCCCGCGCATCCTACTCTTCCCCCTCCCACGCTGCACTTTTGAAGCTCCATGAATCCACTGATTCATGACACATCCCTGCTCCTCCCCCTCCTTCTCAGAGCTTGAAATGCCAGAACCTAAATTGGTTTAAATCTGTGTAATTCCAATGGAATCAACAGAGCTCTGCCAAATTAGACTGGTTGAAAATGTGGACCTCATTTTCAGAAAGAGGCCAACAATCCACTGGCTGAAGAGCATGCACGACTCTACCAGTGCACATGTAAACATGCTCAGATGTAGGTACACAGCTGTATCTCTACCCGGTGACAATTTGGCCAAGGATGCACCAGCTGATGCATTCATACTGTGAATACAAAACACCTGCACAAAGCTTAAGGTCACCTATAACTTTTTGCAAGTAATACAAAGATAATTCAACTACATGTGTTAATTTGGGGATGGCTGCTATTACACAGAACCAACCACATGCACTTGTGGGGGAAAGGGGGAGGAGGAGGAAGAATCACAAAGGGCTCCAAGTTTCCACTGAGGTCACAAATTTCAGTGCTGCTCTCTACCATTCTGTGTGACATTCTCTAATATGCATTTTAAATAGATTCACTAGCACATTAAAGGGGGAGAGGAGCAAGAGGATGACACAATGGAGACGAAGCACAACTCCACAAGAGTCCCTGTTCCCAAAGACCTGAAGGAGAGTCCAGATTTGGGTTTGCTGTCTGATCAGAGTACCAGTGATATCATACCATTAGAGCACTTCCATATCAGTCAGTGAGAAACCAACCACTCAGAAATTTTCCTAGTCATAATAGTCTGCCCCCTCCCTTCACCGCCGGGAAGGCTACAATCCTCAAAGCCCAGCCAATACCCTCCCTACAGATGCACTAACTCATCCCTCACCTGCAAAAGGTATCATGTCACTACCAGTGTTCCCTCTAATTTTTCCCACCTCTGAGTAGAATGAATTTTGTTACGTGCACCACTATGGAAGGCTTCATATTGGTGCACACAACAAAATTCATGTTGTAGGAGTGGAGCCAAGAGATTCATGGTGTGGGAGGAGGCTCAGGCCTGTGGCAGAGAGTTGGGGGTGAAAAGCTGTGAGCCTTGGGGGTGGTGCCAGGGACAAGCTGCTTAGGAGCTGGAGCAGAAGGTTCAGGTGAAGGGGTGAGAGAGCTCCAGCTGGGAATACATACTATGAGGTGGGGCAGGGTTAAGCAATAGTTTGGAGCGAAGGAGGGTACACCAGGACAACTGTGAGAGGACTCCCCCCAGTTTTCGCTGCAGCACCTGTGTGTGTGGGAACACCCAGGGACTGGGTGGGAGCCGTGCCAGGCCACAGGGGCCAGATGGGAAACAGGAATGAGGCCAGATGAGGGCCAGAGCTGGGCTGCCATGACAAAAAATAGGAATGGGCTGGATGGGGGACAGGCCTGGCACTGGGGCCTGAGGCAGAATCAGGGGCAATGGCGGGATGATGGCAGTCATAGCTGGTTCTCCAGGGCCGGACCAGGGTCGGACTGCCTAGGGATGTTTGATAGCAGGTAACAGAATACTCAACTAATCACATGAATTCTTAGCAGTTAGTTGACTATTCTATAGACCCCGGGGTGGGGCCAGCAGCCAGTGCAACCTGGACCCACACCCAGGGAGCCCCTGCTGCCTCTCATATAAAGGCAGCAGCATAAGGAGGCAGCAGTCCCTGTCTATGAGGGGTCCTAGCTAACCACAGACAGAGGCTGCCCCAGTCTCTGTTCACAGGGAGCTCAGAACAGAGCCTAGGCTTATTGGTTAATCGACTAGTCGATTACTCATTCACATTCTTACAACTGCCTGTGGCAGGGGCCGGGCTGGAGCCCAGTAGCCTGGCCAGTTGGAGGGCTGTCTCGTTTGGCCTGTGCAGTTTAACTGACCATTTGCCTGGCACGAAATATACAGTTGTGCAGCTACTCAGCCACACATCTTACAGGGAACTTAGCCCCCTACCCTTCAAGCTGCGGAAATAGGGGATTCCTCCAACATAAATTGCCACTTCTGAATCAATCACAGGGTTCACTTTAGAGAAATCCTTACTCCTTCTAGAGAAGAGAGAGCCGTGTTGCCAATTCCTACAGTTTTATGGGGCAAGAGTGAGGAAGAGAAGTAACTGGCCTCTCTTGCCTTGTACTGCAGAATAGATACCACCAAATCATCCTGAAGCCCAGGGAAGAAATCGGAGGTGGTAATTATATGTAAAAGATGATTGTTACCTGAGAGACTGAAGGATCGCATTCATGAAACATGTGTTCCCCAGATTGCGTAGGCCTGTAGCACAAAGGGCAGTGGTGCTCCCCTGGGAACCAGAAGAAAGAGGTAAGTGAAGAGAGACATACAGCTACCCCCCAAGCAGCAGTGTACACGCAAATAGGGCTAATGACAACTTGTTTGAGCCAGGTGGGAACCAAGCCTACATCATCACCAGCTCAAACAATCTAAAACTGCGGCCCATCAAGGTTCCATGTGTGGCCCACATACCCCCACCCGCTCTGCCTCCTTTCCCCTATGCCTCTACACACTGGAGACCCCACACTTACCTACACCTTCCTCTCCCTCCCAGCACTTCTGGAGCACCTTGAATTGGCTGATTTGCACCCCATCTCCACTTCTCCCCCTCCTTCCCCCCAGAACTTGAATGCTGCAGCACCATGAATCAGCCGGGTCCTGCGCTGTCCCTGCTCCTCCCCCTCTTCCAGAGCTTCAATTACATGAATCAGGCAAGTCGCAGTGTCTGAGCTGTAGGATGGAGAGAAAGGAGTGGAGACAGGCGAGTCGCGGCGTCTGAGCTCTAGGATGGAGACAAAGGAGCAGGGACAGGCGAGTTGTGGCATCCGAGCTCTAGGACAGAGAGAAAGGGGCAGGGATAGGCGAGTCGTGGCATCCAAGCTCTAGGAGGGAGAGAAAGGAGCGGGGACGACGCGAATCAGCCAATTTGTGACATTTCAGAAATGCTGAAAGGCATGGGGAGGAGCAGGGAAGAGGCCAGGAAGGGATTTGATATTGCAAAATAAGTGCAAATGTTTCTTTTTTTTAAATTTGAAGTTGATGACCATTCTAGTAATATATAAATGATTAAAGCATTTCTACTTGTTTTGAAATATTCAGAATGGTACATATTAATGTATTTAACCTTATTCTTGCGGTCATCATTAGTGCACATGACTAATTTCACACTGAGACAAAGGAGGGCCACTCGTGGCCCACTCTCCAGCTTTGACTGCCCATTGCTTGATTATTACAAGCGTTACATAAGAGTGCCTAGATTTGATTTAAAAATTCCTGTTTTGATCATCTAAATAAACCCTCAGAGGACATTTTGAGATCTTCATCGTTTTAAGAGAATGTTTAACTGGTGAGGCCACATCTGGAGTACTGGGCCAATTCTGGCCCCCCATTACAGAAAAGATGTGGACATACTGGAGAAAGTCCAGCACCGGGCAACAAAAATGATTAGGAGTCTGGAACACAATTTATGAGGCGAGCTTGAGAGATTTGGGCTCATATAGTCTACAGGAGAGAAGACTGAGGGGGGATTTGATAGCAGAACAAAGAATAATGATCTCAAGTTGCAGTGGGACATTATATTCACAAGGAGGGGGGTGAAGCAGTGGAATGGGTTACCTAGGGAGGTGGTGGAATCTCCATCCCTAGAGGTTTTTAAGTCCCAGCTACACAAAGCCCTAGCTGGGATTGGTCCTGCTTTGGGTAGGGGGTTGGACTTGATGACCTCCTGAGGTCTCTTCCAGCCCTAGGATTCAACTTACTCTTTAGAACAATCCACTCTAGAATGCTGAGTAGATTTTCATGATCATCCGAGTTAAGTACCCAATTCCCAAAGCTTTTAGTTAAAGCTGCGTGCCAATTTCCTTAAGGCACTATTGGAAATCATCTCACCCTAAAAATGAGATAAACTTCCTTGCCAGTTACCTTTCGACTTCCCCACCATCACATGGCATAGATTTTCTCTTCTAGGACTTCTCATGAGTCCCCAGAACTGGGCTTCTATTTTTTTTTGGGGGGGGGGGAACAGAATTTTGGGGAAAATTACTGAAATTAAATATACTGCTCAAGAAAGGAGCTGAGAGCAGGAAAGAGCAGGCATGTGACACTGTTGGCCTCTTGACTAGAGAGTTGCAACACTCAGGCTAATTTGGTTTTGCCACAGAAGGTGGGGTGTTGTAGCTATTTTTATTTCTAAATTCTTTTCACTTGTTTTAGTTGCCAGTCAAAATTAGTATTGCATAAAAACAGCATGTCAACCTTCAATCTCCAAAATGGAATGTTAACCAATCTTCTATCAGGAGTTCAAAAACCAACGTTTAGCCCCTGACAAAAGCAGTGTGCTTTCAAGTAGGGACAATGGGAGAAAGCTTCTGTAATTCAGATACTGTCCCCAGTTTGTGTCTTGATATCACTAGACATTGATGCTACCACAAACAATATACAAAAGCTTAAGTCTTAAGTAAAGCCTAAAGAGTGAATAGTATGAGAATCTAAGTTTTGTATTTGAGTTTTTCTGTTTGTCTGTATGTCTGTTCAAGAAGTCCTCCTGAACTGTATGAGTTAGGACCTCAAAAATGGTATGCCGCTTCCTCTTGCAACTTGAAGCAACACAAGGGTTTGGTTGTGCAAGGAAAATGATATGTGTCTGGCGGGGGATTCTATAAAAGGAATGGGATTCTCATAAAGCCATGCAGAAAAGAGACAATCGCCAGACAGGTGAAAGGGGCTGACTGGGGATGGACTGTCCGTCCCCTCCCCATCCACGACTGCCCTAGTCCTAAGACTTCCACCCCTGCTAGGCACCCTTTAGGCAGGGCGAGGACAAGGGGTGAAGCTTCCCCCCACAGATTCGTACAGGGATGTTGCTGGCTTTTCCCCTTTGTCAGGGAGCAAGGGGAGAGAGCACAGGATGCAGATGAACCCAGACTTGCCCCTCTCCTCCAGCTGTGCCTGCTAGAGCTGCAGCAAGCATGGAAAGGTGGTCCTCATCTGGCCCCAAGCTACTGTGGTGAGAGAGCTGGAGTAGTCCGCTTTCCCTAGGAAAGCCTGCCTACTGAGCCCCTCACCCCACTCCCACTCCAGAGCAGGGGTTTAAATCAAGCATGTACATTTTCATGTTATTTTCCAAAAAAATGTATAATACAGGTTGAAACTCTTTGGTCCAGCAACATCCAGTAGGAGCACGGGTGTTGCTGGACGAGAGAGCCCCAGCTGCAGAGCTTGCTGGCGGCAGGGCGTACAGCCAGCCAGCTGGGCCAGCGGAGCCCAGGGGGCACCGGAGCCCACAGTCAGCACAGCAGGGCTGCCAGAATTCCCAGGAGCTCATGGGGCCGAAAGCTGATGGGGACATGGGAGCTTGCTGGACCACACAGCCCTCAGGGCTGTTGCAGACAGGGAGGTAGGGGCAGCAGTGCCAGATGGCTGGGGAGAGGAGGCCAGAGGAGAGGCTGGCACCCCCTCCCCGCCTGGTCCAGCAAACTCCCTTGTCTGGGACTGGTGAGGTTCCAAGGGTGCTAGACCAGAAGGTCCAACCTGTATTTTGACAGAAAATTCAGCATTAATCAGATGTCACATTTTAGCTAATGAATTACAATATGCTATTATTTTAAAAGGTCTCGTTTCCAATATAAAATCCCCCACCACCAATGCCTTCTAGTGCCTTTCCCCATTCCACCTGTGGTTAGACAGCAAGGCATTATTTCAAACACCCTCTTCTCTGCTTTTTCTAGACATTGATTCAACCTGCCAGCACAGAAAAGACCATCAGTTGCCTTGGGCAACATTCATTTATTAATGAAACAGAAAAAAACAACACAGATTAAAATTGATACAAACTCCACTTAGTTAATATTTTCTAATTAATTCAGTCTTCTAAATTGGTATACGTGAGTTGTAGTTTTACTTTTGATTTTCCAGGTACTGAGAATTCATGTGATTCTGTAGCCAAAAGAAGCCTGTATTGCAAGTGCTTCCTCCTTAGGTGTCTTCAGAAATTTTTATATTAAAGAGAGACACTAACTAGATCTGCCCATTTTGAAAGTAATTAAACTACAGGCGTTCCAAGACAGCAATTCAGTGTTGGCTGCTTGGCTGTCCAGAGATTCAAGTAGGAGTATGCCCACACGCCAATTAGACACCCGAGGCTGGCCCATGCCAGCTGGCTCAGCTAAGGGGCTATTTACTTACAGTGTATATGTTTGGGCTTCAACTGCAGCCTGAGCTCTGGGACCTCCCACCTTACAAGGTCCTAGAAACTGTGCTCCACCAGCCCAAGCCCGATAGACAATTAAACAGCCCCTAAGCCTGAGCCCTGCAAGCCAAAGTCAGCTGGAACTGCCTTGTCATGGGCTTTTACTTCCGGTGCAGACATAGGAGAGCAGCAATACAGCCATATCCATCCCCACCTCCATGCGCCCTCTGGAGAATTCCTGCCTCTCTAGGTAAGAGATCTGTGTGGAAAGGCAAGTTTATGCATCAGTGCTGTAGCACTAGTACTACAGCTCCTGTGGGTCAGGTTCCATTCCTGCACTGCATTCTTGCCCTTTTAGAGATAAAGCCCCAAGCTGAGAGAGGGCAGAGAGGATACCCTCCCCACCCTAATGCTCCCTGAAACAGAAGGCAAAAGTGATATGCCCATCATCCAACATGCGGAGACAGATACCTGGAAAGTGGGAGCAGCAGACAAGATGAGAATAGAAACAAAGGCAAAAGCACTTCTTAATAGACATTTCAAAAGGGTTTAACTCCTGTTTTTTAGAATGTGAGAAAGGCCATACTGAGTCAGACCAATGGTCCATCTAGCCCAGTATCAGTCTTTCAATGGTGCCCCGTGTCAGATGCTTCAAAAGGGAATGAACAGAACAGGACAATGTCTTGAATGATTTATCCCATTATCCAACTTTCCAGCAGTCAGAGGTTTAGGTACATCCAGAGCATGGACTTGTGCCCCAGATCACATCTTATGTAAGATGGTAAACCAGAACTGCTGCGCAGAATTCAAGTTGTGAGCATATCATGAATTATAGACTCGCATGTTATTTTCTATCTGTTTGTTCCTTTCCTATTGGTTCCTAACATACTGGTAAAGAGTTGTGTGGGTTTGTCTTTACTGATGCTGCACATCGAACAGATGTTTTCACAGAACTATCCACAATGACTCCAAGGTCTCTGTGTTAAGTGACTACCTAGCTAATTTAGAACCAATCAATTTGTATGTATAGCTGGGGCTTTTCTCCCCACATGAGCATTACTTTGTAGTTATCATTCACACTATTTCATTTGCCATTTTGTTCACCAATCACTCAGTTTACTGAGGTTCCTTTGCAGTCAGCTTTGGACTTCCCCATCTTGAGTAATTTTATATCTACAAACTTTGCCATTTTACTGTCTACTCCCTTTTCTTAATTTACAACTATCTACTTAACTAATAGGGAGGACTGGTGTGTGTCCTTTTCTCTTGCAATATATAGCTTGAGTGCCACACTTGTCTGCTAGATAGGAAGTTGCCTCTTACCTGCCTCTGCTTTTCTGCCCATTGGCACTAGCTGTTTCCTACTTAACTGATGCTGCTAAGCAACAAGGAAGCTCAAGCACTAGGTTACTGTGATTATAAGACGACACCAGCAATTTCTGAAAAAGAAATGAATCACCTCTCTCTGTGAGGAAGGCAGAGAAACAACACATATACAACATTTAGAATTTGAAGCCAGGTTCTAACCACTTTAAAGGTCAACATTAGGCCCATTTTGAGTCTCGGTAAGCTGATAAAACCCCTTGAAATACTGAAAATGTTGTACTTACATTTACTTTTAATAGCTTGCTGTTCAGAGATGAGTTTTCCAATAGTTTTCTTTTCCTATGTCTGTCTGTTGTAAAAGCTGAACTATAGTAAAGGAATAATTTATTTAAAAAAAAACAACAACATTGTTCTTTACTATAAAAACCTATATAAAATCGACAAAGTGCATGTTCATCTTAATGTCTAATAAGAGTTATATCTAGAACAGACCATTAACATTCATTGGCAGAACGACCTTCCCTGATTTTAACGTATGCTGTTATAGAGGTATAATAAATGCTTGATTTGTCTTTTCCAGAGCACAGACTCAAACTTTTAATAGTGTCTAGTTCCTGAATTAATGTAATTAGGTTATGCTACAGTGAATACCCTGAAGCATATCCTAATTAACATGAAGCAAAATGCAGGACAATGTAGCACTTTAAAGACTAACAAGATGGTTTATTAGATGATGAGCTTTCGTGGGCCAGACCCACTTCCTCAGATCAAATAGTGGAAGAAAGTAGTCACAACCATATATACCAAAGGATACAATTAAAAAAAATGAACAAATATGAAAAGGACAAATCACATTGCAGAACAGAAGGAGGAGGCGGGGGGGTGGGAAGGGGGAGGAAGGAAGGTAAGTGTCTGTGAATTGATGATATTAGAGGTAGGGAGAGTGGGATGTTTGTGACATGTGACTTCTGATCTGAAATAAACTTAATTTTTTTAATCAAAAGGACACTTTGTATACAATGTCTGCAATGGCACTTCGTCTTCAAAAAAGTGTCTCTCCAGAGCACTAAAAAGACACTTTAAAATAAATATAGATCTACACAACCATTTTAAAGCAGTTTCTCTGAGACAATCACTAACATCAAAAAAGTTGATTCTTAGAAAATTATTGGAAGCCAGATGCAATGCACTCAGGGCTTCCTATTTGTTAATCAATGGCAGTCACTTACGCTAAACACACTTTATCATCTTTACGGTAGGATTTTAGAAGACAAAATGCTCAAGTAAGTGAATTGTCTTACAAGTTATTCAAAACAGCTGGAAACCTGTAAAAAGCACAGTATAACTGTTGAGATGCTACTGGTTTCATAAAAAATTAGGCAGTGCAACGCTGCCGTGTGATTTAATGTTTCTAGGATCTCCACTGTAACATGTAAACTGTATCAGTGATCGTCAAGCCAGGCCAAAGGGAGACACCAAAATAACAAGTTCCTTGACAGAAACTTGCATCTTAATATATCATTGTTCCTCCAAAAAGAGCTCATGCACCAGCCAAGAAGCAAAACATAAAAAAGCTAAAGATAAGTAGCACATTCTGCTAACGTTCATCAATATTTCCTTTGCCATTTCAAGTCTATAGTTTAAATCCTTTTGACCACGAAGTTACTGCAATGGGCTTTCATCATGGGATATGACTGCTAGCCATGCACTGGCCTTGATAACAGCAATCGTCACCTCTGAAAAATTTAAGTTGCAGAGTTTCTCATAGACTTCCCTAAATATTCAATACATACCTCATCTGTATATTGTGTGCTTTTTGTCAGCCCAACAAAAATGGAGTGAAAAACAATGAGTGTTAGGTTTCCTAGACCCATTCAAATAAGACAGCAACTGGAAGTGAGGACCTCAGATTAGGACAATGCCAAATGGGGGGTGGGGAGGGGGAGAGGGGAGGATTCTGACACCAAAGCGATACACTTAGCGTATCAATATCCGAAGATTTTCTCATGTCACAGCCACTTCTTAGTGGTGTTGGTATCTGACCTCTGCATTATATCATCTAGTTCTCTTCTACTGAGAAATAAGTCACAATAAAGCACTGCTCATCTATAACTAAATATACCAAGGGATGTTAAATTTTGATCAATCAGCTAATCGAGTAGTTGATGGAAGGGGGGCGCTCGCTTTCCTGCTGTGCCTTTGACTTTGCAACGTACAAGAGCTGCCCACAGCTCTTGTACATTTCAAAGAAAGAGGGACAGAAGCCGGGACCCCATGCAAGCGGGGACTGCTTTAGTCCTCACTCATGCTGTTCCCCAGCTGCACCTATCTCCCCTACCCCTCTGCAGAGATGGTGCTGGGGAAACCAGCTTTTAAGATGCTCCTGCTTCTCTCCCCCCTTCCACCCTCCCAATGCCTCTGATACAGAAGCAGCAAGGGGGGGAAGTGACTAGTCAACACTAGGCTTAGCAGGTAGTTGACTAGTTGCTTACATTTCTAAATATACCATTAAGTATATAAGATCATGAGCTTTAGACGCTCAGAAACCAGAACGCAATTAATATTTATCAGGATATTTCCCTATTCCATTTCCACTTTGAGTGCTCTGCTCCAGCAACCAATTCTTAGTTTTGGGAACCCATGCCAGCTTTTTGGCAAACTGTTTCCCAACACATTCTTGACAAGGACAAGTCTGAATGCCTCAGCTAGCACACAGACACAGCTACCCGTTAATCCCATTTCCATGAGTTTCAATGTAGAAGTCGTCCCAATCCATAATCCCCATATCTTTTTTTAGGTGATGAACATGCTTGTATAAAGACAATGAACAAAAAGAAAAACTATTCAAATGAACCAACAGCCACGTCGACCCACAGTAGGGAGCAGAGTGGTAAGCAGGTTACTTACTTTTCCAAATTCTGGAGGTGCTCCCTGACTTTTTGTACCAGGCCCAGCTTGGTATCATTTACTACAAAATCGTCACAGCGATAACTGTAAGAAAAACAATTAGCATATGTAAGGAGTTTCAGCGAAGCACAGCATTCAAAGCCTAGAGAGATCAGATGGGCTCATGTGACTATGGGTGTGATGTAGGAATCTGAAACAAGAAGGTAAAACACTGAATTTAGCCCACTTCTCAAAACTGTTTTTCTATTTCAGGCTTGTGTGCAGGAATTTCTGGGGTGTGCTTTTTTTTGTAAATGTGGACCGCAAGGCTGTGAATGCACTCCCTGTAGTTCCCCAAGTAAGTGGGGAAATCAGTCCCAGCCTTCCTCCTGCTGGCCAGAGAATGGAGGTTCAGGCAGCACGCCGCTTCTGCCTTCCCCTGGCTGGCCAGAGTATGCTTACTTGGGGGACCATGGTGGGGGTGCTTTTGCATCCTTCACACATCTCCCCTCTTCCCCCGCCCCCGCGTACAGACCTGTATTTACAAGAGGTGCAAGCAGCTTCTTGCTCCTGTACTTTTCTCTACTACAGTTCTATCCCCCGACCCAGCAAAAAGATTCTAAAATTAAATCCATGACTCCAACTATCATCTTCCACCAAAACAAACAAACAAAACCCTCCCATAAATAAAGACAATGTTGAAACCTTTTGTGTTTGATATAATATTTTACTTTATTTAAAAACTACTGTAACTATTTCTCTCCTTTTCCCTCTAAGATTTGCATAGGTTTTTCTTAATGTGAATACATAATAATCAGCAGCTTAGGTTACTCCCCTGCTTGTCTGAATCAGTGCTTTGTCAGTTCATGACATCTACATGGGACAGTTCAACAATTCACAATGTTTTCACCGCATAAATCTTTGAAATAGTTCACTGAGTCAGCAACAGGGTAGATAAAATTCGATGTTTTTTAAAATAAAAAAAATGTTTATTTAAATTCAATTTTTGATTTTTTAAAATCAATAAAACACAGTAAACTTCCGATAATCCAGCACCTTTAGGACCCAGGGGGTGCCGGATTATCAGATTTGCTGGACTATCGGAAGGAGGGGGCTATGAGGGGTCTGGGGGGGGGGCGATGCCACCCCAGATGCCTCATAGCTCTCCCTTCTGATAATCCGGCTCTGCCCCAGGCGTCCCTGATTCAGCCGCTGTTGGTCAGTTTCAGCAGCGGCGGAATCGGGGGCGCCCGCAGCCGGG